TATACCACGTAGGGGAAGGAGGGAATTTATGCCTCTTTACATCCCTTAGCAGGCATGTAACATGGAAGATCTTGCCCTTAATATTTATATTGTTTTCTTAATTGTACATGTTACACACTGTCCAGGACAATATCTTATATACATTTGTTTTTTATCTTAAAGTGCACAGATGGGAATTTATCTTCTGCTTCAGATTTGACACCTTTGGTTATTTATATAAAGTGACAGCTGTCTCTCATGGGTGTACATAAATACGAATATTAATGTCATGGTATTATAAAGAATGTTTTTATCAGCATGAGTCTGAGATGGCGACAGCCATGAATGAGTCGTACAAACTCTCTCAAATGTGTAGACATGGCCTTTATATCACATATCACCCACCATGTATTCTGAATATGCCACAGATGTGGTATAGTAGAAAGAGAATCTACATTCAAATTCTATTTTGTGTTGTATTTCAGACTTTCCAGTCTCGCATGCTATCTGGTTGAAAATCTCTGAAGGCAAAAGCTAAACCTTGCTTATGAAGAATTTGGATACTTAATGCAAAGTATTAAAAAGGGTTCTGAAAAGAGAACAAAACTTCTCTTTTGGTAGTGCCATTTCTCAGAAATCTCTTCTAAGACCAACCTCGAATTTCCCCTCTAACAAAGATCATAAATGCCAAATTTCAGATGCAATGGATTTTTTTTGAGGAATTTGACAGAAGGGAGGGGTAAAACTGAGTTTACAGTAGAAAGGTGACTGGATCCTTATAGAAAGGTTATTTGTTCCTCCATAATATCTCAAAACTATGAGGAGTGGCGCCTGTGACCGAGTTCTATCATCTAAGAACAAAGCAAATTTCCTATGAATTAAAAGCAGACAATGGTTATTTTGTGAAGTGTTCTCATGAATAATACAACCAAATTTTGAAGTCAATGAGGTTACTTGTGTTTAAAGTTAAGATCGTACTCAAAGTCTTTCAGAATAAAGCAAGATTGTCAAATGTTCACATGTATAGATCAGGTTGTAAATTGCTGTACCTTCTAAAATAAAAATAAATCATTTTGTAAATTGAGTAATCTGCCCTAAGAAAGTTGCCTGTGTTTGAATTAATTCTTGAATTTAGTAAAGATTTGGAGGAACCCCCATGTTCTTTTGTTTGTATATCACAAACTGCTACCATTTGAAGGACAGATACAGTGGCACAAAGGTAAAGAATTCCTGGAGCAGAGCAGCTTGAGAATACCAATGATTAATGAACAGATAAAGACACATATGATTGCCTGCCGTTTTAAAATGAGCTGCTACCAGCTCATTAAGCTGGTGAGAACTCTTGAGACAACTGTTACAAACAGCCTTCCTTCGAGTCAAAAATGGTAGCACCTTAGTTCAAATTAGAGACCTTTAAGATTACAACCTGAGAGGAATCTTAATAAATTGCATTTCTCACAACAGTAGACTGATGTGCAGACTCACCAGTAAGGGAAGGAAAATTAAAGTCCCAGCTACAGATCTCTTCACCTTCCTTTCTTCAGGACTCTGTTTAGTTCCAAAACACAAACAAAATCCAGAACAAATAATCTCAAACTACTGGGTATAACCAGCAGAGGCTTTTCCAGCTTCGACTGGCTGGGCAGGGAGAAGACAGGATACATTCCTCCCCAGGATAGCATCCATGCTCCAGCTTTCCCTTCCCTTCCATTCCATAACCCTCGCCAGAGGAGGCTGATGATAGGCACGAACCTATCCTTACAAGATGGAGTGATTTTACACTTGTCACACACGGGTACTGAAGCAGAACAACACCAGACACAAGCGCTGGTCATGACTGCTGAAATTTGAATAGGAAAAGAATCTAGCATCTTGCCCATCAGAACACACATCCCAAATATCAGAGCATCCAACTATTTGTGATAACAAATCACAAATGAAGGGTGGTAGATGATTCTCTCCATGTAGTATGAACCGTGTTCTGCTCTTCTTTACCTTCCAAAAAAATCCAGATAAATCAGTGGAATTTGGCTCTAAAGCCAGCACAATAGGTGCAGGGAGGGTCAACTCTGTGCACAGGTGATCCTCTGATGATGTAAACCAGCATAGGAGCTCTTATGCCACTCCCCCTCTTTACTATTAGTGTAACAGAAGGAAAAAGGTGTATCCAGAGAAAAGGGAACATGACTAGGAGGCTCCCGTGCCATGTCAATGCTCAGCTGTTGTTTCAGTCCGTTTTCAGGTGGTATACATGAGAGAAACCCCTGGCTGCTGTAATTCAGGACAGGGGGATAAGCTCTGTAGAGATGAGGCATCAAAGTCAGGGGCATCACACACACACTCTCTCTCTCTCATCCAAACCCCCAAGATCCTCCCAAAAATATTTCTGACAGACTTAAAGTGACCATCAGTTCTCCTTTCTTCTTCTTCTCTGTCACAGTGGGATTGTGACACCAGGGTTACATCAGCCAATCATCACATTTTCTGTTGTCCTCTCTCCTTATGCCTCTATGCTCTAAAATCCCTACATTCTTCTATCAGTGATCATCAAACCTCGTCCAGATCCAAACTCCCCTCCAAAATTCTCCCGAACTTCAGCAGATCCAAACTTGGCCGATCTCTATAATGGTTCTGAACAAACATTCCTTTGTGAATGTTTGGAGTAAAATATGGACTTTGTCACTTGGGCACATATATAAAGTGTAATTCACATTTTGAGTTATTTAATAAAAAGACATAGAAACAAATCTATTGTTTGAATGATTTTTTGTGGAGGGCTTATCATGCAAAACCAATATAACATGATTATATTTCCAGAAGTGAGAAAAAAATACATCCATAAAACAAGTGTCCATGAAAAAGGAGCCTTTCACATGAATTATCCTTCACTATCACCAGTTATTTGATGGCTCCCAACATCTATAGTTCATTGTTACAACTGTCAAAATTGGCAACCATCAAGATTGTTGTCTCAATTAGGGACAGTAAACAGATTGTCCCTATTTTTAATGAAAAAATCTAAAATGTAAAACTTCACAGTTTAACATGTTTATTCATCTAAACGAGCTAAAAAATAATGACGTGACATCTGTTTGAGAGACACTGGTACCTAACATTTTGGCTGTCTCTTCACCGATTTGGTTGTCATTAAAAAAAAAAAAAAATAAGAGAGGATGCTGTCAATTAAATGCATTGACATACTGTATAAAAACCCTTTCCTGTTCTTGGAAATATGTACTAAACATATAGCACGGTGTGTAAGGCAAGCTAAGCAGTAAGTAAGATGAAGGGAAGAAGCACAGTGCTGCAAAAAATGCAAGTCTGTTTCCCTCTCCCCCCCTCTCGCAGGATGTCAACAAACTCAGTGTTGTACACACAATCTTTGCCAGTTTATTCATCTTATGGATTCATTTCTACAAGTGCAAGCATAATCTACTAGCTCAGAAGCAGTCCAAACACCATATTTCTGCAGACTTATTGCTGTCCCATATTGTTATTTGCTTAGTCATAGGAATCACTGATTATTATGCTAGTTTGTGTAAAACTCTAAATGCCATAAAATCTTTATTATTCTGTTTGTTGGGATTCTAAATTGATTTTAAGCACAATCCACTTGACCTTGAAAAATAAGGACTCAATTGTGCCTTACAGGCACAAACCCATGTTGGAACAGTATGGAGAACTTGCCTGTTGGGAGCCGCTAGAGGCTTCTTGCTCATTTGCAAAGGGACCACACATAATCTAGCCCTAAATTAAGTAATGAACCCCTTCAATAGTAGTAAATGTCACTGAACCAGTATAGGCCTTTTAATACAGTTTCTGCCCTCCCCCATGAGAAGGGATAATTTAAATTATTATTTATTTTTAAATATAATCTATGATCAAGTGGACAAGTCAATTATTATCCAGAGTTGAGGACTATCCTGGAAACCTAAGCAAACAAAAGAACTCTCTCATATGTTCTCAGTTAGATGTAAATGCATAACCTCATATATGTCATCGCTGCTACAGCTAATGGAATAAGCTGATGGGGCTATGATATACACAGGATCACATGGTGCCTATTTAACAAGCTACAGTGATCTTTAAATAAAGCACTCTTCAATAAAATTTTAAACAAATCTCTGGGGCCCCTGTTAGAGATACACTTATAATTACAGTGCAACCCTCAATTCCAATAAAAACGCATTCATGGATGACTACAAATACAGGTAGTAACTAAGTGGCAATGTATACCTCCTCTACTATTTGTACCACTGTAACCACCGTTATGGAGTTCATAGGCTTCTGTTGTACTCCTGAAATTGTTCCAAATTCTGCTTTTACTTGTCAAAGAAAAAACAGGTACTGAACCAAGCTGTATTACTCAGGATCATTGCCAGCAGCTACAGTCCTTCCAAAGACAAAACATCTACCTAAGTGGGGAGGTGGAACTGAGCAACCACCCTCACTCTTCTGCAGGACCTAGAGCCATCCATCACTGCTCAAAAAAGAGGGCATGGCCAGCCAAGCCTAGACCAGCTGGAGCTGCTCTGAGTCAGTGCATCTCCTAAGCAGCTTCTGCTGGCTAGGAGCCTGGGCTGGAGTTTAAAGATGCACTCCTTAAGCAGAGGTCTGCAGCAATACCGGAGCCTGCTCTATCCAGAGGTGAACTCCCTCATTTTGTAGCTGCCCCATGGAGTGGAGTCAAGTCCAAGGTGGTAGCAAGCCATATACAATTACTATTACAGTATTTTCTATTGGTTTAATATGATTAGGACCAGATCAGAGGAGTTCAATTTGTAAAATGTACTGTATTTGAAGAGACTAGACCAGAAATGAAGCTCTCTTTGTTACATTTTCAACATTTAAACCAGGGGCAGGAATCACTTGCTTTGCTCCACAACTTATAAACAGTGTGCATTCTTTGGTAGCACTGCTCAAACTTGTATATTGTGTTATCTAAGGTAATTTAATGTTCTTTCAAATGTTTGTTTCATAGCAATGCAATAGATCCAACTTTAATAAGTGCTTTCAAAAAGTTCAAAGTTTAAAAATTCATTTTATTATTAAAATAGTCCATGAGCTACAGTTACAAAGACAAATGACCTAAAAAATTATGGGATTGATTCTGATCTCAGATACATACATAGGTATCAACATTAGAGAGAGAGAGAGAGAGAGAGAGCGTGCACACCTAGCATGCATTTGAGGAGCTAAAAGCAACTTCACTTAAAGATATCAGTGCTCCAAAAGGTGTACTGGGAGACATAATCACAGGCCAGATTTTGATCTCATATTAGTGTGAGTAATTAGGAGTAAACAGGAGTAATTTCACTGAAGTCAAAGGAGACAGTGAAAATAGGTGTAAGCAAGACCCAACTCAGGCCTTATGTTTAATGCATTTGTATTTATAAATTAAAAAATAAAACAGGTGGATAGTTTGACTAAAGCTGGGACACCTGCTATTAACAAACCTCTGTCTGTAACTAGTGGACTGAAAAATACATGGAAAATATTGCACTTGTGCTTTCAGTTACAGAAAGCACAAGTGCAATATTTTCCATGTATTTGCTGCAATATTCTCCAAATATACCCATGTGCACTGGGCATGAATCTCCTCTCATGTTCTAAGCAATAGGCAACTCTCTAGTTACATGTGACTTAGCTACTATGTCTGTCACCTGAATGAAAAATAGCCGAATGCAAAATGCAGCACTTGAGAACATAATGGAGATTTGTGATATTTTCTAGTCTAGGGGACTTCTGGTCCATAAACCAATAAATAGATTTCATTTGTCCACAGGTGCAGTTTGGTTTTTACTTGTGACTCTCACAATATGGGAAATGTTCTTGTTCTAATAACTTCAAGTTACTATTTTAAGTTAAATGAAAAGAAGAATATTTCTGTTTCAGAACACAATATATATATATAACAATATAAAATACTTAGCACTTCTACTGCATGTCTCATACAAAGCGCTGTACAAACATTAGCTACATAATCCTTACAGCATCCCGTGAGTTAGTGGAAAATGCTCATGCAAAATGAAAGAGGACTGCAGCATTTTGAGACATGTAGTATGGCACTCAGTGAAGTGAAAGGCATGTCACATCCAAAATGCTAGCTTGTGATTGCCTTTCACTACACTGAAAGGAATGCCACATGTCATAAAATGCTTCACTCCAAGTGCTATATGTTGCTACACATTTGGTAGCATATATAATATTACTGGACTACAAGTACTATGAATGTATGATTTTGGGGATTTGGTGACTGAAAAAGTCACAATTTAGAGAATGAAAAATAAGTATAATATTTCCTTTTCATACATATGTTGGAGATGCTGGTGTATTCCGCATTTCTAGATGAGGTGTCCTATATTACACAAACCAGATAAGGAACATAAAAAGTGTATCCTTAGAGACTCATAGTGTATATAGGCATCAATACTGTATGGTCTAAACATCAACCATATTGATCTAAATTCCTGAACCAGGTTTTAAGTGGTGATAATGGGACTGTGGGTCAATTTAAAATAAATATAGTCTTATATACTACACTATTAGTATAGTTTTGGTTTCTCTTTGCCTCCAATATCCTCAGGTCAAATCTAAGTCTAACTTGAACACTTCCAAAACAGTCACTAAACAAAGGGAACTCAGTGGTTTATCCCTTAGTTGTGAGACTGTTACATACGAGAAATTAGGGTTAATTTGCCAACAGAGTTTCTACAAGATGTCAGTGAGTCAAGACTCTTCCAGTTTTGGGGAGTAAGCATGAAAAAGATTTGTTAGCTGGTATAACCCCTTACATTAGTTTGATGGGAAAAAGATAGTATAACTGGAAAACAAATTTTTAACACAGCCTCCTAATGAGAGAAGCAAGCTGCTATTGCAATTAGCGGGAACAGTATAATTAAAACAGAATTTCAGCTTCATATTAATAATAGAGCAGCATACTAATTAAAATCAACATCAACTGAACTTTCTACATATACCAGTGCAGACAGCCCAAAAGGCAAGGAACTCTGTTTCAGAGACATATGTTAATGTTTGAGCTTCTGTCATCCAGGTGCCATTTCTGACAGAGCACATGTGCACTGAGCAGTTGGCAAGGAATGAAGAAAGATTACTGTAGATACATGTGCACGTAGAATCTAGGATATAAAATAGGCCCTACAGGAAGTGGGAGAATGTTTCTAGAAAGAGAAATTACCTATGACTTCCTCCGTGTGTGAATAGCGAGAGAGTGCAAGACTCAGGGTGGTGCAGATGCCCTGGAAATACAAATCACTAAAGCAACTTGTATTTGGGGACTTGTGTTTTCTTTTGCATTTTTTTAAAAAAGAAAACCTACATTTCGCTATTGGAAAGTTTGGATTCATGGATTTAAGTCAGGACAGCCTACCCAGAAATCAGCAGCTATTGTTTGCAATACCAACAACAATATGCAAAAAACTGTCTTTTGGCATCAGAGTTCTCAGCCTGAGAAACAAATAATGTAAACAATTCATTTAATTCATAATAGTACAGCTTCTGTTTCAACTTAAGTGTAGAATAGCTTTGCATGAGTCTTCTTTGCCTGTTCTGCAGATATGAATGTTAAGAGCGATGAGATATTGCATAGTATTATTATGCATCAGAACTGCGTGTTCCCAAGTTGTGTTGTTCAAGGTAGTTGCTTTTCCTGAAGAGAATCTGATGATAGGATAGATACATTGCATCTGCTAGTTTTCATTTGGATCCAGATCAACGTCAACTTCACTTGATAGATTAAGATAAAAGAAAGCGTAGAAAGCCAACAGAAATACCAGTATAGCTGCAAGGACAAGGGCAACTTCCTGTACAAACGAGAGAAAATTTTCAAAACGATAAAATGTTAGATACAGTATTATAATTTCAGATAAATCAGGAACAAATGTTACCTTCCATCTGCATCAAGCCTGCAGAAGTTAAGTTTTCATCAGACCATATAGTTCCCACAATCAATGGCTTTTTAATTAACACTTCTTTGCTGCCACCATTTCAGCATGTTATGGAAAAATTTTACTTGACGAGATGATCAATTTTTTGGTGGGCCACATATATCCTTTTTTGCAATCAACACAGACAACGTTCATAAAAGAATTTGTAGGTTTGAATGCAAATGTGAGCAATGAAGTTAGATTGTGTTTGGCTATTTTTGCATTTTCTAGAAATATGATTACTTTTTTCATAGAATTGGAGATTCCTAGACCAGAAGGCACCATTGTGGTTATCTAATCAGACATCCTGTATAACACACATCACAGAACTTCCCCAAAATAATTCACAGAACATATCTTTCAGAAAAACATCCAATTTTAAAAATGGTCAGTGGTGGAGAATCCAGCACAAACTGGTTAAGTTGTCCCAAAGGTTAGTTACCCTCAATGTTAAAAAAAAAAAGTTACGCCTATTGCCAGCCTGAATTTTCTCTAGCTTCAGTTTCCAGCCATTAGATTGTGTTATACCTCTCTCTGATAGACTGAAGAGCCCATTATTAAATATTTATTCCCCATGTAGACTGTAATCAGGTCACCCCTTAACCTTCTCCCCCTTAAGCGAAACAGATTGAGCTCCTCGAGTCTATCACTAGAAGTATGTTTTCTAATCCTTTAATCGTTCTCGTGGCTCTTCTCTGAATATTTTCCTATTTATCAACATCCTTCTTGAATTGTGTGCATCTAAACTGGACACAGTATTCCAGTAGAGGTCGCACCAATGCCAAATACAGAGGTAAAATAACCTCTCTGGTCCTAGTTGAGATTCCCGTTTATGCATCCCAGGACCTCGTTAGCACTTTTGTCCACAGCATCACACTGGGAGCTCATGTTCACCTGATTACCCACCACGACTCCCAAATCATTTAGAGTCACTGCTTCCCAGGATAGAGTCCTCCATTTTTGTAAGTATGGCTTACATTCTTTCTTCTTTTAGCAACAAGATTGCAAATTATTAATGAGGCATGCACACCACAGTGGATATCAATGAAAAATGCTACTCCTACCTCTCAACCTAGCAGAAAACAATGTGCCATGGTACCAATCTGCAAAATCCCTCAGTGCAGGAAAAAACTTTTCCATGCTCTTCAGTTCAATAATGCTGGCAGAAAGCACCAGAGTTTGCATTTGCACTTAACTCCCCCTCTCCAAAGGAAAACCCTTCTGTAGCTGCCTTCATTATAATAAATGAATCTTCTACAGTGTACTTGATTTATAGTAAGCTTCAGAATTTGAGAAATGCTTTTGTAGTAAATGCCACAGGGCTGTCTGTTATCATATCCTCTTTTTCTTAGGGCTACTTAACTTAGGCTCCCAAATGTATTAAATTGCAGTATAACTATCCTCTTTATAATAATACTTCTTTACAACACAAAAAGACAATGTTCTATTAAAAACAATATTTTCAGTTCACTGGAGAAGGCAACATACTCCTCTACATTATACAGTGTTGACTACCATTTTCATAGGCAGTGAAATATGGAGTATGACTTTGAATACTGCACTGTTATATCGCCACAATAAATGGAAATTGTCACTTCCACTGGTGACCAGGGTGATTATACATTATGCCTAATGTCATGATTTATTTTTAAATCATGTATGGGGCCCCTCAATAAAAACAGCTGAACTCTGTTATAACAAATCCCCAACACTCCCACCAAAAATAAACCAAAAACGTGGTCCAATGGTCCATCTATAAATCGTCTGCATCAAACCACCCATTCAGATACATAAAAGGATAGGAGGAGAAAAGAGGGGCTAAGTAGGTGTGTAGTAACTAATATGAAAAGGAAAGACTGACAACAGGGTTTGAAATCAGCCACAGAGGGGGTCAGATTGATATTGTCAGCAAGAAAGGTCCATAGATAGGGCCACTGTGGGAAGGGCACTATAGTAGGAGCTATTATATCTGGCACTGACCTCAGCCTTCTGATTAGGGCGTGGTCTACTAGAAAATTAAGTTGGTATAACTATGTTGCTCAGAAAAACCACCCCACCTGAGCAGTGTAATTCATCTGACTTAAGTCCCCAAGTAGACACTGCTAGGTTGATGGAAGAATTCTTCTGTTGACATAGCTACTGCCTCTCGGGAAGGTGGATTACCTCTCATGGTGTAGTTACTGTCTACACTGCACGGCTGTAGAGTTTTAAGTGTAGAATAGCCATACCTCATTGTGTCCCCAAACCTGAAGGAGTTAAAATTTTTACTAGCTGCACATTTTAAAATCAGGCGCATGATCTGGCATTCTTCTCTAGAACAGCACTTTCATTTGCATTTACATTAATGCATTTTATATTTGATCAGAATGTTGGATCAATAATTCAAACATATGTCACCTAATAAACTTTGAAATATTACTGCTTATTTGACTTATGCTCTGTACGAATCTTTGTTCTATGAGAACCCTTTGGTTTATGTTCTACAGGGATGGCGGTTTAATTTTTAAGTCATTTGCAGCATTGTAGCGGTATTGGTCTCAGGATATTAAAGGGACAAGGTGGGTGAGGTAATATCTTTTATTGGACCAACTTCTGTTGGTGAAAGAGACAAGCTTTTGAATTTACACAGAGCTCTTCTTCACCAACAGAAGTTGGTCCAGTAAAAGACATTACCTCACTCACCTTGTTGCTCTAATTTATAAGTGACTTTTATTCTTCTAAACAAATGTTTAAATTGTTTGTATAAATTTGCTTAGGGCATTTGCTATGGGCTGTAACTAGAATTTCCTATTCGAATTATACTATAATTTGAACCTTATCATCTCATTTTATATGATTTGATTAAAAAAAGAATTACATCTAATTTACTAACACATTAAATGAATGTGATTTTTTCTTTGTTGCAGTTGCAACACTTCAGTATCTCCAAAGGGCATGGCAGCATCAGACAGGTTTCATTTATTTTCTTGTATCCACAGCTGTGCTCCAGACCCATCTGGCCACACAGCTACTAATTTTAAGAGGCTGTAATGAACAAGTGACACACAACTGCAAATTCCATCTGCTCAGAAGAGTGGACAACGATACCATACAATGCAGCCACCATTTACACTGAGAGCAGTATTATTTTTTCCCCTCTCATTTGGATGCTCAGCTTTCCACTTTATCGCAAGTTAACCTTTTTTCTTCTCCACCTCTTCTTTCCACAGTTGCCCTTAGAAAATTGTGTGCTGTATGTAAAAAACTTGTTGGCAATGTTTTATAATGAAGAAGCATTTCCTAGTGATTATAAGAAGAAACTGGGAGTCAGAAGATCTGGATTCTATTCCCAAATTATCTAATGATTTGTATGACTTTAGGAATTTATCTTTCTCTACACCTTAGTTTTGCCATCTATAAATTGGGGATAATACTGCTACTTTCCACAATCACAGGAGTATTAGGAAGGAGGTAGGAGACCTAATGTTTGTTAACCATTAAGAGATCTTAGTACTGAAAAGACTTGAGAAGTGAAACTAATGTATTAAAATTCTAGGCTTAAGAATAATACAAGAACCTCAACTTTGAGTTATTGAGAAACGCAGTGGAACAAAAAAACTCATGCTGTGGTTGCAAATATTTGAGTGACAAATGTCAGGTAACAAATCGATCTAACAGAATTAATGATATATTGTTCACAATTAGGCATGCAGTCTAGTATGTCTACGGTTGCAGGGATTTGATTTTTAAAAATAATTTTAACAGATAAAATTGATGGGTTTTTAGCATTTTTCCAATTTTTATTGATTTAAGTTTTCAGAGTTATGCAAAATTATGGGTTTAAACATTTTTCCTATTTTTATCAATTTAAATTTTCTCAGTTGTGGCAATTAATGGGGGTGTCAGACAACTAGGGATCAGCCAATAATTTGTTAATGAGATTCAAAAAGTTAAAGCTTTATAACCATTAAAACATAAAATTATAAACATCACACATCACAAATATACAAAGTAAATATCCTTAAATCAATCTCTAAGTTCTCAAGCAACACTTTTCTTTCTTTGCCTATCTGTAAATTATGATTATCATCAAAGGTAATATTTTTGTTGGTTTGCGTGCACATGGTGAAATTGACATTTACTGATAAAAATCGAATCCTTCCAAGCCTAAATATGTTTTAGAACCATATCTAATTTATAAACTTTCAAATAGAAACCCTGCAATGAACATCGTACGAAAACCACTACAAAACTGCTATATTTTCTTTGCAACACGAGTAAAAGTTGTCATTTTAATTTTTTTATATATCATATCAGCCTTTACAATTTGTGAGCCATACATAAAGGCAACGCCTTATTCAGGCCTGTCTGCAAAGGCCTGTACTTTAAGAATTTAGGTGTATTCTTATCACTTGGCTAGTTCTAGAGGTATAAAAGAAAGAATCAAAATCACTGTCTGCTGGTGTAAGGGCCTTCTCCTACTGTGACAGTCTGAGGCCCTGTTCTTAGGCTAAGGCCTTTGGCTAAGCAGCAGAGGCAGCCATAAGCTAGGAAGCGAACAGTCACATCCTCACATTCCAAACTAGTCACATTGAAATAAGGTGCTATTGGGGTGTTAGGCACTATCAGGACAGGATTGTATTCCTATCACCTCCAGAGAAAGGGAAGTGCCTAGAAAATGTAAAAGAAAACTTAGTTTGATAGCATCCTGTCTGGCAAGAACTCACTTATCAATAGCTGGGATGTGAAATCCTCACTTCTGTATTGTCTTGTCATTATAGTTCCCACTTTGCTATTGTTTGTCTGTATAATCTCTGTCTGGTTCTGTGATTGTTCCTGTCTGCTGTATAATTAATTTTGCTGGGTGTAAACTAATAAAGGTGGTGGGATATAATTGG